ATGGAAAATAGTATGGAGATTCTTCAGAGAACTAAAAGTAGACCTCCATTTGATCCAGCAACCCCATTACTGGGTATTTACCCAAAGGAAAAATAGTCATTTTATCAAAAAGACACTTGCACTAGAATGTTTGCTGCAGCACAATTCATAATCACAAAGCTGTGGAACCAACCCACTGCCCGTCAATTCATGAGTGGATTAATAAAATGTGGTATATGCATACCATGAAGTACTACTCAGCTATAAAAGAAAAAACTAAGGGACGAAGACATAAGGTTTAAAGATAACCTCTTATGCACTCCTCCTGGCCACCAGCACCTCCACATGTTAGGTATAGTGCAAGCATACATTTTATCCTACTTGGGTTTGTTTTTCCCAAATCTATACAGCTTACTAAACAGATAAGCTAACATGACAACCTCAGCCATGCACTCAAATTAGAAAAGCCAGAGCAGTAGCTCACTTCTGATACCCTAACCTTCCTTTTCCTAACAGACTCCTGCAAGGCAAGAACCACATTTCTTCTTTACAACCGTACTGCTGATCTTGCAAAAAAAAAAAAAAAAAAAGTACTCTATAATTAATTTTAAGGACAGCCAGATCTACATGCTAACTGTGTAGGTTAAGTTCATTTGTTCAATATTTGGCCAAATATTTCATTTCTGATTTAAGAGTAACAATCAAAAACAACTTTAAAAAGCCTTGAAAATACTTTTATAATTCTATTTTTCAGCTCTCCTACCTTTCTGTATTATCTGTACACTATATATATAGTACACCCAAAAATGCTGATCTCTGTGAGACCATATGTTTATATTTGAAAAAGATCTTTGCTCTTATAGTGATAGAAATGATAGTGAAATGTTTCACTATCTCTGTAGAGTATCAGTAAACTAGATTACAAAGCCTCATACATTAAGGAAGCTCTGTTCTGGTTGACTTTTAAAGAAATATGTACATAAATGGAATATTCCTAAAAGTCGTATAAAATAAGAAAATTAAACTTCTAGTATTTCCAATGAGCTAGATTTACAAAGATCTTTTTCAAATATAGACATAGTAAATAATTCCTAAAAAATTCAAATTCACATTAAGGTAAATGTTCAGTAAACTCATCAAGTTTTATAATTTTGTTTGATAAAAATAACTGTCTCCTCTGATTTAGCAATGTTGAGGATAGTACACGCATATATTTTACCCTACTTGGGTTTGTTTTCCCCAAAATTTTTATAGATGACCAAACAAATAGCCACACCCATTTGTAAGTCGAGTTCCCCGGGACGCTGAGACCCATTTCCACCCATATTGGAGGACGGAGCATCAGACCTCCCTGTGGGATTTGTTTTGAGGCTCCAATTTGGGGTTGGAGGTCAAGAGGTTGAGTGGAACTAGGGAACCTGGTTTGGACTGAGTTCTTTTGTGGTTCCCAGAGAACCAGGGGGGACTGGGCGATGTTTGTTCTTTCGTGTGAGAGAATCTGATTCTTGGTTTGTCCCTTTTGGGCTAAGAGACACTGATTCTCGATTCAGAGTTCGGTTTTCGTTCTGTGGTTAGCATTTCGTCAGCAGTGGCATTTTGTGCTGGGGATTCCCTGTACTGCTTCTGTGTGTTTGTCAAGTTTTGTCGCAACATAGGGAAGCTCCATCTCAAAGCCCCCTGGGGAAAATCTGGCTGAACGGTTAACTTACAGCAATGAACCTGTGTGGAAAGAGAATGTGTTACTGTGATCCAGTGTACTTGCTGGAGTGTGGGGAGAAGCGGCCACTGAATGAAAATTCCCATTTGAGTGACAGGCCTTGGTGTTCTAGATTGTTTGTGTTGGGAGTTCCCTATACTGTTTGTGTGTGTTTGCGAGTTTCTGTCTGATGAAGTTTTGCACCTACGTCTAAGGATTACTGTGATACCATTTGCATGGAGTGTGAAGAAAATGAGTGGTTGATGGTCCATGGTTTATTTTCAGCTGTTGGTTCTTCTAAAATTCGGAGCTCGAATGGTCAACCTGACAATAGAGAGTTAAAATGCTGAGTCTCAAGCTCTCTGCTTGAGATAAACTCATAGTTTGTGGTATACAGAATAATCTATGTGTGTATGACTTTTGATAAATTAGGTCCTCCCCTCCCGCTGGAACCCCCTGCCGGCCGGGGCGAGGTGCCAGGCGGGGCCCAGCCCAGTGGCGCAAGGCAAGGGGGAAGGAGCGCCTGCCGCCACCGCCATCTCAGCACCACAGGCGGGTGGAGAGGGCGCCTGAACTGACTCTTCAGTCCCACGCCCAGTGAATCGTGACTCGGGGCTCAGAACGGCCTCTCCCAGCAGCAGACCCAATTCGGGCCGCAGGGAGCCCGTATCTGGGGCAGGCACTTTGCGCAATATCAGACAGGGGCTTGAACGTGCAAGAACCACCAGCAGGGTCCTTGGAGACAGTCAAAAGGAACTGCTGAAAAAAACCGCCCCATACTTTTTTAAAGGAGGACCTTGAAAGGAACATTGCTGAAAAGTTGCAAAGCCTCCACAGCAAGAAGCCCCCAGGAGAGAAGATGTTTTCTTTAGGTGCAGGACTCGGATGGCGAAGGAGGGCCGGAGCCCCCTGCCTCCAAACACAGGGGCCGGGGAAACTGACGGTGGGGGTTCCACGGTGCCGCCGTCCTGCGTGGACAGAAGTGTCTGGTTGGGGGGGGGGTCCCTTCCCGGCTACAGCACGGACCCCGGCACCAGCCGAGCCCAGCCGCACAGGAACTGGTGGGGGCAGTAGCAGCGAGGCAGCGCAGGCAGGCAGCTGAGGAACCTGAAGGGTACTCGTGGTGCTCAGTCACATTTACATGGCAGGATCCTGGGACTATGCTGCCTCGGGGGTCTAAAGGGCTCTCCTGCTCTGCTTGACAGGAGCCGAGCAGGGGACTTGCAAAACCCACAATCAGAAAGATATGAAAACTTGTATTAGCTTATCTGGGGTTCCTAGGAACGGCATCTGCATCCCAGACTGCGGACTGATGGTGAAACCCTTGCACAGAGCAAAACAAGGAAGGAGCCTCGGAGTCTTAGTACAGACGCTGAGAGGCGCCCCACGGCCCGTGGCACGTCAAAGCCACTGGACAATACTGTGCACGGACGGCCTCTTGGCGTCCGGGCAGGAACAGCTACCGTGAGTTGTGTCTATTCCCAACGCTACCACCCTACTGCCAGCCAAAGAGGAGGGGCCTTCACAACACGACTGCTCAGAGGTTCTGGAGACTGAACTCTGGCAGGACAGATCTGTCAGATCAGCCCAGGCCAGAGCAAGCATCTCTTTCACTGACGGGAGTGGCTTCATGGACAATGAGGGGCAGACGTTGCCACCTGGGACTGAGCGCAGGATGCTGAAGTGCAGTTATTGAGAGGAAAAGGGCAAACATTTATACGGACTCTAAATATGCTTTTATGATTGAGCATGCTCACAGTGCCATCTGAAAGAAAACGTGTCTCCTGACAGCAGGAGATAAGAATATCAAGATTGCCACTGAAACAATGGCCTTGGCACAGGCTGTGGCTGAGCCCAAGCAGGTGGCCGGCATGGCAGGAAGAAGTCAGGCCACAGCAGAGCTGCTGAGGAGGAACAGCCATGGTCGGTCCCACTGCACATTTTGCCATAGCTGGGCCCAAAAACTGAATTATCACCCTTATGTGAACCCAAAGTCAGGAGTCTCCAGATCTCCTAAAATTCTCAAGGGCAGTTTAGTAAAGTGGTAGACTTAAACAAAACAAACAAAAAACCTGAACAGGGAGGGATAAGAGGTTTATTCTTGGCTCAGTAGACAAGAAAGAATGGAGAAGACCAAGGAAAGAACAGTCTTTTAAAATCACAAAATGAGTGGGCAAGACTCTACTCTAACTGCACACTATATGGGAACAAACCCAAATAAACTTATTTGCAAATTATGACTTCACTGTAGACACTTCTTTTATATACTCAAGCTATTTATAAATCTATTCTTTCTCTAAAAAGCTGCAATCAATTTGAGAGTATATACCCTCTTTTTATGTGAAACCATGGTCAAGGGTTGCAATAGATCTAATAAATGTTTAACATGACCATTTAACTGAAATGGGCATGACTTTTTCAGTGTCATTTCTAAATCTTTCCAATTGACTTCCACACCTAGAAAAGTATTCTTTCACATATATTCAAAATCACATATCTATATACTAAGTTCTGAATGAACTGGTTTAAACATAGACTTTTATCAGTTATTTTTGTAAATTGTGAGAATTATATCCATGAGCTTAAATTCTATTAAGTTTGTGGTACTATAATGTTAATAGTAACAAGATTATTTTATGCCATTTCTTTGAAGAAAAAAGAAAGGAACCTGCTCATCAGGTGTCCAATAAGTACTTATGTCTGTCAAAACTTAAATTTGCATAATATAAGATCCAAAAATAGTTATGAAACTACTAAAAGAAAACAGAGGAGAAATGCTTCAGGACATTGTTTAAGGAACTATAGAAGACTGTGTTTTAAAATACAAATGGAATAAATTTATCTAGCAGTCTCCCATACCGTATCTTTTTAAGAAAGTAAAGCTATAGATAAAAATAAGAAAATACTGACAATTCAAATTCTATATGTAAATGATTTCAGCTATTACTGTGACAAAGAGAACTGATCACTTATTTATAGCTGTTACACTTACTTCTAAGTAAACAAAAATAGTAAGAGTGTATTCAATAAAGATTTTGTATTGTCAAGTTTTTTTTAATGGGGAAATTTTTAATGTTTTCAAATATATATTCTGTAGGTAAATTAAAAGAATGTAAAAATATGCTGAAACTTTAAACATCCAGTCCCTATGAATTTTAAAAGATTCTTCTGTATATTTTGCACATACACCCTTTTTTCTCACAGTTGATCAAGAGAAAATAATTATAGCTACTCATGTGTAGTAGTAGAAGCAGCTGCAGCAAGAGTAGCAGTAATTGTAATACTCCAATTTTAAATTTTTTTTAAAAAATTATGTGGTTCCAACCTGGTCTCCAAAGTCCTCTGGGAATTTCCACAATACCACAGGATCTGTAAATAATTGACACACATCATTAAACAGAGGCAAAGGAACACATTTAAAGCAACAGTCCTGGTTAAACACTCTTAAAATTGTCATAGCTACTTTAATTATAATTTTTAAATTTCTCTTTAAACATTTACAGTTGATGAGGTTCACTTCTTTTCCTTCATCAAATTAAATATATTAATCTTTTAAGGGTTTTTAATGACCTTTGGAACAGAACAAACAAAATTAATAACTTAGGTCATCAAAAACCATTACTGTATTTCTTTCAGCAACTCACTTTTTTATTTATGTATCTTAAATATTCTGAACTTTGAATTTTTAATTTTAACTATGTTACAAAACTACTGGTTTTAATTTGAAAAGAAAAATATAAATGTGGTAAACATGTAATCAAATACATTATAGCCCTCAGGCACTAGACTAAAATACGCATCCTAAATTTCAATTAAAATCCCAAATAAGAATTTATAAAAATTGTAATAATGTTTGCTTCATATTGGCTTTAAAAATTCCATACTTTGTAGTAATAGATAAGTTCGTAGGTAGGTGTAAGGCAGCTTATTTAAAATATAATTAATATTTTCAGGGCATTTCAGAGAAATCTTTCTGATATATCTAGTAGTTTATATAAATCAATATTGTTTTCTAAATATTCCATCAGATTTTCTTTTCATTTCTCATAATATTTCTCTTCTATTTAGCATAATACAGTGAAGTTTTAGTTGTAATAATCACTAATAAATATTTTGGTCACATACTTATTTTTTAATTTTGTCGAAAACTTTTGAATACTTTAAATGTCTCTTAAAAGGATAGTGTATAACAGATTATTACTCCTGACAAACACCTTTGAAAGCCCAAGATAAAACAGGAATAACAAGTACCACCTATATGCCAGGGTTCAAGCTCCACTCCAAGTAAAAAGACTTTCTGGACCAAAGATCCACCACTCTAGGAACCCAATCAATGGAAATTTATAGCTTATTTCTACTACTCCATACTGCTTTTTAAGAAATATAATTAATTTAAGGATGTATAATTTCAAAAGTTTTAATTCCAAACTTCAACAAATGCCTAGTAACATTTTTAGCATGAGCTAGTTCCTCTTGTGTTTTTATTTAACTTAAAAAGGAAAAAAAAAGCAGGCTTTCTATAAACTTTTTACTTATAAAGGAACACAAGTTATACAAGTTAAAGGAATACAACTTATAAAGGAATACAAGGAATATAAGTTTCCATATAAGTTAATATAAATAAATCATTTAAAACATCTTATATGAAAATACTGTATTACAAATTTATAAAGGTAATATTAAATGATTATGTCCTTGTGTAAAACAAAATGTATCCATTTCTAAAATAGATGTGAAATGTATTATTCATCACCTTGAAATACTCAAACATTAATGTTCTGTGGATAACTATGTTCCCAATTGGAAAAAATATCCATATATGGCAATCTTACCAAAATGGTAGCTGCAAGATCTAAATCTCATAAACAAAAGTGTATGATGGAATCGCCATCAGATATGAAGCAAAAGTTATTACCTTGACAAATTAATAACTAATAGCCATATAAACAAATCATCACACAAAAATGTAGAAGAGTCCTTTCTCATAAACAATGGAATTAAGGGGTTTCAATGTGGGCCCTTACAGTCCGCCCTCACAGTGTGCAGCATTTACCTAAGTGTGTTTTCCTGTCTCGCTTTTCCTCATCTCTTACTCCACCATTTTTTTTCTGTACACTCTGCTTTTTCACAGAGGGAAAACAAGTAAGTACATGAAAACAGCATCTATTGGTTTCATCACAAAGTGGAAAATATCCTTTTTCTTTTCATTCAGTGAATGTTATCCTTCAGCACTCAAAAATTTATTATAATCATGTGCATCCATATTTTGAAATGGATTAACTTGGTCCCTGCCTGCGTGATTAGATTTAGAGCACATCTGACACATCTTTGTGGCGACTTTTCAGAAGTACTGCAAAGGAAGAAACAAAAGGGCTCTGAAAAAAATAATCCGATTCGACAACTTTATGCACAAAGACTGAATTTTCTGTTCCCTGAGGATTACTTTCCAGATACTCGATCTGATCTGGCAATGTTAGGTCAATTTTATGCTGATTTTATGGGTGAGAGGATGAGAACTGCTGGTGGGAATCTTCGCTGCCAGTGATGACTGATATACACGGCGCTTCCCTTCTTTCTAACGTCTGCTGGTAATGCAAAGGAGACTCTGTACCCTAATTTTAAAAAAAGCTTTGCTGACAATCTAGAAACCAAGTAATGATAAAAGAATATATAACTTCATTTTGACATAGATATAATTTCTTATTTTAATAAGAAATGTCACAGTGTAGTAAGAAAAATATACAAAATTTTATTAAATCAGTAAATTTGGAAGGTGAATATTTAAAGTATGGTTTGTGTGCCACCATTACAAGGATTCCAAATCCATTAAGGCTTTTTTTAAATGTAAAGTAAGATAAATTCAGCAACATTTTATTTTCTTTCCCAGATATTTCACATTTTCTGGCCCTTAACAAAAATTAAAATTACTTAGAATACTAGTGTGATTCTACTTCATTACAAAATTACCCAGGAAAAAGTTTCTAATTTTCATAAGTGAATATTTACTTAATTCTGTAGAATTCAATGATGAATTAAATATACAACATCTTTAAAATTACAGATTTGTAAAGTTGCAATTCAGAGACTACTTTTGAAAAGGTGGAATGTATACTACTAGTGTTTTGCAGGATTATAGCTTTCAGTACTTGATTTACCTACATTGCAGAATCAGAACTTTATGTATGAGGAAATTAAAGTCAAAACAATGAGTTCTTAAGCCATATAGCTAGCTAATGTCAGAGCCCAGAGTTTTCTTGAGATGTAAAGAACACTTATTTTAAATAATTGCCAATAATTCATACATTTCTGTGGCACATTTAACTTAAGTTCAATTTATTTCATTGAAAAATCTACGCAGCACTAAAGAAACAGGGAAAGTCCCTGCCCTACAATGACCTACAACATCCATGGAAAGAAACGTCAACAGATTATCTAGTTGTTCAAAGCACAGTTTTAAGCAAGGTTATCAGGTAGGACCATTTCAACTCAACTTCAAAAGTCACTGGCGTAATAATGTCAAAAAACATTACTAATGAAGAAATGAGGTCTTTTGAATATAAATGAGCGAAAACCATTAGAGAAAATGTGCGATTTTTGTTCTTTCACCAGTAGAGAGATAATGGTGAACAAAACAAGGCAGAGCCCTTGCCACTCACAGAAAAGAGGAGCATCCAAACATACAATACAATAAGATTTAATGCAATTTATGATCCTAACTGGATAGGATGCTGCAGGGGCACACAATAAGGAAATCTAATCTAATTTACAGAGTCACTACAGGACTTCAGAAGGAAAGGACAGGTAAACCGACACGTAGGTTAGCCAAGCAAAGGATGATTTGTGCTATGAAGTGGGCAAGGGAGAATGTTGTAGGGTGGGGAACCAATATGCATGAAGTCTTGGAGGCTAAAAGAAAGCAGAACACATTTTAGAAACTGAACAAAATCTACTATATCTAGAATGTAATTTGGGAGGGAGACAATGTCAAGAGATGAAGCTGGATGGGCAAGGAAAGCCACCGAAGTGGACGGTGGCATAAACCAGGTGAGAAAGAACCACCAGAAAGGTACGGAGAGCGCAGCTAGAGCATGTATTGTCATGAAGTCAAGGGAAGAGAATGTATCTAAAAGAAATCCTCCAAAAATGCTGCGAAACATTGAAAAGTGCCGACTGGAGAACTGCAACTATATTTAAAGACATAAAGCCAGAGTCAGATGGGCTTCCATTAAAAGGCAGGAAGAAGGACGTGATTTAAGATTATGCAATGAGTGTGAGGAAAGAGACTGTGTATTGAGGCAATTTATTTAAGAAAGGCTATAAAAGGCAGAAGAAAATAAAGGTAGGTAGAAAGGTTAAGCTTGATAGATTTGTTGTTGTTTTTAAATTTTAGACTGGCACAGACTTGAGCATGTTTAAAGGCTGACAGGAAGTAATGAGCTAGCAGAAAAATGAGCTAGTGCCAGTGAAAGACAGAGCGTAAAGTCCCTGAGAAGACAGCAAGGGCTGGAGTCCTGATCAGGACGGTGGGATGAGCCTTAGACACAAGCTAGATTACGTCTCCCATTGTTATAGGAAAAAGAGAAGAGAAAGTCATAAATCTAAGTAAAGTTGTTGTGGTACAAAGATAAGACTTTTGTGTGAAAGTTGCTAATTTTTTTCTGTTCAGTAGGAATCTCTCTGAAGCAAAGCTCTCTGCTAGGAGAGGTTGTTGGAGGTTTGAAAAGGAAGCGTGAACAGCTGTTTCAGGCAACGTTGAGAAGGCAATTTAGGAAGTTGTCCAACCTGGCAACAAAGTGGGATTTCCTCCTCATCATCCAACAGTCCAGACAGAAAAGATAACTGGTGGATTCAGTCAAGGTTGAGGTTTCTGTCAGTCATGTGTGATGGAAAGAGAATTTGAACAGAATAGTTATAGATACGAATTACTTATCTAAAGCTAATCAAGTGATTTTTTTCTATAAAATCTAGTAATATTATATGTTATACCAAAACATGCAAATACATTTTAAAACAGCATATTTTCAGTTGAAGATGAACTACATATATATGAAGAGTATAGGATTGAGAAATGAGATGAAATAAATAAATGGAAGCATATGTAGAATTATGAAATTAGGCAGCTTAAGTTCTGGTCTTCTACGTATATGAATAACACAATGCTTTCTGCCTGTGATCAGATGCAGGTATTGGAAAATAGCTAATCAATTTCCTTCTCCACCTTTTTCTCTAAGTTGATCTTAAAAGAACAGTGCCTCATCTATTTATCCAATTATACTATGTAAATGTCATTTTTCTACATGTACTATATATGAAAAAGACTGAAAAGCATGGAGTTTAATAAGCACAGTTAAAATTATAATTTTTATTAC